TTTTTTTTTTTTTTTCCAAAGCGAATTACTAGTCCAATTTCGTGTTTCAGAGATCGACGGGGATTAATTTTCGCTGACGCGGTAATAATTCACGAACGAGAAATGACGATAAAGTCGTGCTTGAAGAGGATCGTAAGTAAGAGTAACTTTCGCAGTGCCAAATTTAAAAATGCCTGTGTGCGAAACATATGTAATCGTACGTCGATCAGTTTCTCAATCGAACTGCATTGTTTCTGGTCTACATTTCATTCACGTTCGAGAAGTTAAAGAAGATAAAGATATAGATCTCTGCCTTTGTAATTGACCGGACGAATCATTTGGCGAAGCAGTGAGCACACGTCGATGAAATTCTAGAACGAAAGAATGGAATATAGTGGATAAATAACCAAGTGAAACGGAGAGAAACAGTACAAGTCAGTTGAGAATATATAAAGAGACAAAAATGAAAAAGAAATTATGTGTGACAACGAGAGAAATGTCGTACAAGTTAATCTGTTAAAGAGACAAAAATGAAAAAGAAATTATGCGTGACAAAAGCAAATCTGCTTGTGATTATTTCAATGCATTTTCCCGAGGAAAGTAAGCAACACATTTAATTACGAAATGTTGTGTAATATCATTCGAAAAAAAAAAAAAAAAAGAAAACACGTGCGTTTGTAAATTTGTGTGGCAAACGTATGCACGCAAGTGTATAACGCGTTATCGCCCGCATAGCAAAACGTGTAAAGATAAAACATGATTAAACTTTCAAAGCTACGAATCGCTTGAAATTCAGTGTCAGGATTGACGATTACAAACATTGTATCAGCATAAACGAGAGACGCAAAAACAGCCTATATAAAGTCACATGAATTTGTATTTTAAATTTTGATATAAGATTATATAAAACTTCTTCCATAATTCTAGTCGTGATTTATAATCAAACGAACTGGAAAATTATGTCATCAAAACAATAAAACAAAACAGTTTTTCAAACAGCTAGCGAGAAGTGCATCTGATAAAATTATGGATATCATTCACACGACACAAGTCATATAAATTTATATTTTGAATTTTGATATAAAATTACATAAAACTCTTTCCAATCGTGATTTACAATTAAATAGGTTGAACCGGCTGTGTCGTCGGTAACGAGACAGACACTTTTTTTTTTGAAATGAGATCTGTCTACGTAAAAAAGTATATCTCATAAAATTATAATCATCGTCCGTAATTATCCTTCCCGTCGCGCGCTACCTGGCAGCCATCTTACAAGTCTATCGCTGATCCGTTAAATATCTCTCCTCGACGCATAAAAGCTTGTAAGTCCCAGGCGAGCGACTGTAGCGTTTGCGCGGATCCCGTGTAGTCGGGAACCGGTGAAGGTGTAAGTGCCTCTCGCAATCAGTCGACTACGAGTATCGGGAAAAGCGACGTCGTACGAAGCGCGGTGGTTGGTGCCGTGTCGGTAAGTCGTGACTTAAATCAACCCAGTTTTCGTGAAGTGTCACATGATACTGAATCACCCGCTAATTTCCAACGAGTACTGTCAGCCGACTCGCTAAACTAAAAGTACAATTTGTAAATACGTGATGTCAATTAGCCGCGTACGTTCCTCGTAGCTCAACTATTAATTCTTTATTTACGTGTAGACGTTTAAGGGAACGATCCCTCGTAGGGTCGATCTTCTCGCGTAAGTCGTCGTAATTGACTTCAAGTGTGTAAACAACGTTTACTCGATGTTTCGATCGTGAACGAGCGAAACGCAGATGCCAAACTGATCGGACTCGGTCGGAAGGTAAATCGTTTGGTTTCTGGGAGAGATCGTGACGCGAATCAATCCGTACTTGGCGTACTAAAGTAAAGAATTGCTTTCAGAAAGTGCGGATCCGTTTGGCTTCCGAGTTGCAAAAATA